TGGATGGATGGATGGTGATAAGAGTTGTATGAGCCCCCAATAAAATGATTTAGAAAACAACAACAACAAGAACAGTGGGGAGAGGTTGGGTGGGCACGCTGAAGGGCATCTTTGTGTCTCGGACGCTCTGCTTGGGTGGGTCCATACAGACCACCGAGGGTGGCAGAAGGGCAAACAGTAGGATCAAAAGTAAGCTCAGGTCCCACCAGACCACCTCCTTGTGACTCAGTGCACCTGGCCTGATGAAGAGCTTTCTCTACAAACCATTTCGTGACCAAGCAGACAGGCTTCCATCACTATGAAGACCCCACCGCTGGAGAAGTGCTTAGAGGTGGCTAGGCCATTGGACTGGATCCCTGGTGGGGAAGTGGTTATGTGTTGGGCTGTGATCCCGTCAGCCATTCAAAACCACCAGCAGCACTGAGGGAGCCAGACTGGGCTTTCCACCCCCAGAAGTAGTACCGGAAACCCACGGGAGGTGGCTCGGAGTCCGCATTGACTCCATGGTAGGGAGAGGGACCATAGGGAGAGAGACCATTGGAAGACTCAGAGTACTGCCCGAGCTTACCACTGACAACAAGGGCCACCTAGATCCAGGGCCTCTGCCGGCAAGCCAGTTTGGAGGAAAAGGGCTAAAGTCACCCTAGTGAAGTCCAGGGAAGCTTGCTCTTTCGGGAAGGTCCTTAGAAGACTCTAAAAGTCAACGTGCAGCATTTCTTTCTCCCACTTTCAACTCCCACTTTCAGGGGCTCGAGGGGAAGGGGCGGCGGAGAGCAGCGGTGAAATCAAACCTCCGTTTGAGATGTTAATCCATATCCTGAAAGCAATGGCAGGCAGATCGTCTGGAATGCCAGGAATGTTCCCGGAGAGGCGGAGGGAAGGGCCACCCAACCAATGAAAAGAGGACATGCCAGCCACCCTCCCCGCCCTTAGAGCCCACTCCAGGCCCCTGCACGCCCCCTTTCAGCAAGCCCCCAGGCGGGACCCACACTCAGCACGGAGGGCATGGAAGAACAAAGCCCACGAGAAACCTTTGCCTGGTTAAGTCTTTGGCCTGGTTTCCATTCAGCGTGGTGCCACCTAATTTCTTTCAGCCTCGAAGCACAAGGAGCCATATTGGGAACTGTAAGCCAGCCTTTCCCCTCGCTCAGACCCCAGGGTGACTCCCAGTCTGCGGACTGCAGGCAGGGCCAGGGTGGTGTGCTGCTGGAAAAGCCTGGAAGATCCAGATGGACCCCAAGAGATCACGGAGAGTCACCCCGCTGGCTCTCTGGGTTAGGCTCCCACAAGGTCAGCAGGGGCTCCCCAAGAGGAAGTTGGGACTGTCCGCTCCCCATAAAGATGTGCAGTCTGGGAAACCCTCTGGAGGGTGCCTGGGAGTTAGAAGGGTTGACAGCGGCGGGCTTCACGTGGGTGCAAACCATTAATAACCACGAACGAACGGGAAAGCTGGGGGTGTGGGAGGGGGGGCTGTGCCGTCCAGGGACACCTCACAAGAAAGGCCTGGCAATGTCCTAAACCTCAACCCCCAGACCCACTGCTAGCACGTCCATTCTAATAGGGGCCCAGCATAGGGTTTCCAGAGCTGTGTAAATCTTTACAGGAAGATGGCCTGCTCACCCGCTCTCCAGAGGCTGGTGGGTTTGAACCGCTGGCCCTGCAGTTAGCAGTCAGACACTTACCCATCAGCCCCACCAGGGAACACCCAATCCTGCAGTTCTACTCAAATACACAGGGGTCACCACGAGTAGGCACCCACGAGGGTGCGGCTGGTGCGTAAAAAGATGGGGCACGTGAAGCCCAGTGTATTTGCTACAGGTCCCGGTGCCCAGCAGCCTGCAGGTGACCAGACAAGCATGCCAAGAGGCAGACAGGCAAGGATGGCAAGGGGCCTGAGGGCAGTATCATGTCTAGGCTGGTAGGAAACCACCACAATCACAGCCTGGAGTCCCATCCCACTCCCCACCTCCTGGCAGAGGACCCACTAGAGCGCTCCAGAAGGCGGTTTTCTTTCACTAGGGTTGAGCCTGGTAGGGATTGGCTCTCTGTATGGAATGCTTCATCCCAGGACCAGGAACGCAATGCGCCTCCCAGAGGTTGACCAACTCCATAGCTCATAGACCTGTTGACTGAAGGAACAAAGTACTGCCTCTGGCAATCCGGGCAGCGGTTACACACAAATTACAATCGCCCTGGGTACCAGCACCCTGTGGTTTCTGGAAGGAGGGCTAGATCATTCCTCAGAGCTGAACGGGGAGAGGAGGAGGGGCAGAGTTCTTCCTCAGTGGGAAGCTGGCTCATCCTTCCCTGGGTCTCCCCTCCCCCATCCTCCAGTGAGTTCAGAGAGGCGCCTCAGACCTTTGCCAACGTAGTCTTACGTCCTGAGGGCAAATGAAGACTCCTATTAAGAATTTCGTATTTTAATTGATATGAAGAACTCACACTACCGCACAGAATGACACATGGGCCTGCCATGTAGGTGGTGGTGTTCCCCAGTTAAGTCAAAGCACCCCACGGACTATTCTTTAAGCTATAAACGTCATTTTACAATTGTTACAGTTCTCTGGGAAATGATTCTCTAAACGTATTGCTGAACACGGAGCTAGAAATTTGTGACTGCTTCAATGAATCCATCCCCCCCGACCCAAATTTGATCTTTAAAGTTTTTAAATTTCTTCTTTTACTCTAGAAGAGCCCTGGCGGGATAGTGGGCTGAGTGTTACACGGCTAAACTGAAAAAGCAGCAGTTCAAATCCACCACCCGCTCCACCGGAGAAAAGATGAGGCGGTCTGATCACAGCCTCAAGCTCCGGGAAGCGGGACTCCCTGTCCTGTCGGCTCACTCTGGGGAACTAACTAGACAGCAGTGGGTTGGGTTGGGTTTAGGTTTCGAATTTGAGAAATACGTGCTGACATCTCTAGGTAAGAGGCCAGACCTAGGATTTGGTTCAAAAGACTCAGGGAGTGGGAAAAAAAATGTTTAAAGGA